TCTCTTTCTGTGCAAAAATACATTTTTTGAAAATTTCGACCTTTTGTGGGGGAGGTACCAGAAGGAGTGGACCGATATTGCCCATCTCTGAAATCGATCTAAGTTTGACAAATATATTACGATGTACCAAGTTTGGACCAAATCGGATACTCCTTCGAGAGTTATCGTGCGCACCAGCCAGACAGACAGACGGACGGACGGACATCGTTAGATCTACTCCAAATGTGCTGAAACGTCTAGGGTCTAAAACCGTTATTTCGACTAGGCACGTTTTGACCGTATCAAATGATATATACCCTCTGCAGCCATATGGCTGAGGGTATAAAAACATTACCAACCATTGCGCATTTCAAATACATAATACATATCGGAAAAATCTATTGATATATATATATATATATATATATATATATATATATATATATATATATATATATATATATATATATATATATATATATATATATATATCTGGCTAAAATCATAAAAAAATACAGAATACCGCCACATTCCCGTGGACCATTAGCATATAAAAAGAGGTATGTTTTACGATTTTGAGTACCACACAAAAACACTGAATACACGCCATTTCAATTTCTTCCGAATCAATAAATTCTACAGTACAAGGAATGCAATTTCGAAACTTTCAGATTTATTCTGTACTAGCAAAATCATTTTTAGTTAGCGGCCTCATAAAACTATAAAATAATCCCCCTTGCCACTTAAAAATAGTGGAATTCCGATGAATTAAAACCCATATTTGCAAAAGAATAATAAAAGACTTAACGAACGAACATTGCCACAAGGAGAACAGAGAATAATCAATGTTTCTCTTTCTGTCTCTCCTACGTTAATCGTAAATCCCTAACCAAATTCCACAATTATTTACCTTTTCGCTTACCTGTTTTACAAATTCGCAATGTTTTTGTATTTCAAATATCCAAGAAATCCAAACATGCGTTTTCTGAGAACAATTACTCTCACAACCTTCAGACGGCAAAGGGAAAGACGACATTTTTATGATCTGCTAAGTCAAGCAACAGCAAACTGCAATTATTTTGTTATCAGGTAAAACGAAATCCAAATAGATGGGTTTTTCTGTTGTTGAATTATTTTTTTTTTTTTCGAAAAAAATGTATTTTCTTATTTTTATTTATTTGACAAATTGGTTTACAAAAGTTTACTAAGACTAGAAATGTTTTTATGAAAATTTTTATTACAGCAGTTATTTAAAAATACATATAAACATAGTTACAAATTACAAGTGATACAAAATATTATTTATTATGAGATTTTAAATCTTTGAGATCAAAATTCGTCGGTTATTATAAACTATGACTTATATTTACAGAAACATACACGCATTTGTCTTATATTCTACATTTTAAAATCTAAATTCTGTTGTCATAGGCTAAGAGCGATGAGAAAAAAATTAGAGAGTATGACAAGAGAAAACCCTGGCTCAAGGAAGCGAAAATTCTATTTCATTTTCTGAACAAAGCTAAAAGTATGGCGGAATATTGGATAGTTTGTGTTATTACACTCGTATGATGAAAATTCCAAATAAAGTCCCTTGTTGGATCTAAATGATATTAGAACGAAAACATCATATGAACACTTTCGCTAAAAAGTTCAGCACAAATGTACTCAAAAAGTGAGATAGAAGGCATTAACAAAATTTAATATTTAAACATTTCTCTGTGACAAATTCCAAAATTTGCATATACTTGGTAATAACGTTGGGCGCCACTTTTTCATAAATTAAATATTTCCATAATTTTTACAAAAATTAAAACTCAGAAATAATTTTAATGAAATGCAAGGTTAAAATTAAAGTCACTTCACGTTGGGCGCCAGGTAATTCTTATACTTGTGATTGTTAATAACTTCTCAGTCGAATTGATTTTTCAGGGAAAAAAGTAACATCTTAATTTGGCATTGCATTTTTTTTAAATTTATACCTCCTTTAAACTTGTCTCATATGTAATTTGTAATATTTCAGTTGTAATTCGTGTATTTCGTTTATAATTCGAAACATATGCAATTTAATTCGAATGTGCCAGGTGTAATAATTATTCGAATTATTCTATATGAAGATTGAATTATTTCATTCAAAATGTGTAAATTGGTTTGTACTTGGTTTTTACGAATTACAAAAAAAATATATTAGAATTGTAAAAGGAATAATTTAAATGGAACAACACGAAAAATACATGAATTCTAATTACAAACAAAATGTTTCAAATTTTAAAGGCAATTAAATAAAATACATTTGGAATTCATGAATAACAAGTAATATGTATGAAATGTTAATAGAAATGTTTCAAATCGCAAATTAAATTCACGAAATACAAATGAAATTTTCGAATTACAAATGAAATTCAGAGAATTACATCTAAAAAGGTATAGAATCGTAAAACAAATAAAGTTTGTGAAATGTAATAAAAAAATATTTTCAAATTCACGTTGGGCGCCAACTGACTCTTGAGCTCAATATTTAGCAAATATCGTCTAAACATTATTTCGGAGACAACATTTAAACAACTATAATACACATTCTCTCCACGGACGTACTCAGGCCAGAAACGTCCTAATTTGGCCCTGTACGTCCCTGCTCCTCTCAGTGTCGAATTGGACCTATCTGTAGATTATATCAACTCATAGAAAATATACCAAACAAGGACGAATACCAAAATTGTTTACAAGAATTCCATTGCTAACGAAATTTGTCATCTATGCCGATAATCCTTTTACTAGACCCATTTTGCAAACCAGAATGCATATTTCGGTCAAAATATAACATTTTGACAATACAATCTTAAGCCTATTTATCAACTACCCATCGCTACATTGGATGTTAAATAGGTGGATTATCCAACGTTGATCTTTTTTGTACTGTTTTCCATGAAGTCATTTTGAAGTTGATTCACTAGCCCCCTAATCTGGTGAAATCTCACTGGAGTACGCAATTCTCAATTTTGATTCGAACTTTGTTTCTGAAAATACAACATTTAGGTCCACAATTTGACACCAATGGATTTGGAAACTTAAAATTCGTCGATAACACTCCAAATGATTGAATCTTAATTCCGGAGTTTGGCAACGCTGTATTTTTATGCTTTTCTGAGCTTAAATCTATTGAAAATTACAGAATAATCTTCTAGAGAATGTAAAATTCCTAAAAAAACAAACGGATGTTTAATTTTTATGAACAACACCTGGATGGCGCCCAACGTAACATCTACATTGCTAGAACATTCCTGGTATTTTCTGCATGTAATGAAAATATTCTGAAGATTTCATACATTAATCCCCCATATTGGGCGCCATGTACTTACTGAGGATACATTTATTGATCATTTCCAAAGAAATACAAGCGAAAGCAACGGGATTTGCCTAAACATCGTGGAAAGCTTGTTCCAATTGGATTTAAGCCCTGTGTACGGTAATAATCACATGTTGTCGAAATTGTCTAAATCGAAAGTCTCATCATTTTCTGTTTGGCGCCAACTATGAATATTTAGCTTACTGTGCATTTCAATAGCAAGGTACATCAAAATATTGGTCATAATTACTTTCGCGCAAGTTTTTTAATCGCAGCCTCTGTATTCTTTAGACATGTTTGTTCCCAAAACTGAACAAAAGACCATTGAAGGGATGAAATCAGAATTCATCAAAGAATTTAATTTTTATCACAAAATTGAATATTTAAGGGCTTCGGGGATTGAAAAAGTGCTGGCATAGGTGTTTGACAAAAATGACACTCATAAATGAATATTTGCATATGAAGACAAAATTAGCGGTACTGTTTACAGAAACCTCGTACAGGGAAGCTTGTACCGGATCCAGCCTAAATTTGTACTACCTCGGAATACCTCTTTTAGTACCTTCTGGGTTTATGACATACAACGGTCATAGACTGTTTAAAAATAAGAATATTGTGCTTAATACGACCAATGCAATGCAAATGACTGGATTGTTCCGACTGGTAATAAATGAAAAAGGAACCTTCCTCAGGATATACATCATTCTTCACAAATTTTTGTTTACAAATTTTATGTAGACTTATTATTTGCTATCTACGGTCCTCACGTTGGGCGCCGTTTCCTTCTTGTTACCATAGATTATTTGATTAATATACCCAAGAATATGATCCAAATGATCGATGCATGATTTAATTTTTTGGATTCCCGGAAGTACTTTTCTATAAATTGCGAATTCGAACACCGTATACCATGTGCTTAGCGTTAAATGTTAGATATACAATCCGTTTGGACACCTAAGATTGACAATTATAATTGGACGCCTTATGTTCTTTGTTCTTTTTTACTTTAAACGAGGGGTTTTGAAAAAGTTGGGAATTCGAGATTTCGTTGGCTACGATTAAAGATCGAAAAATAAAAAATTACACCATGCCAGTTCTTACGTTGGACGCCACATATTCGTGGTTCCTCTAACTCTGGATGGTATTTCGACCCAAATACCTCATATAAAATGCCAGTCTAAACATACAATTCGAAATTTTCAACTATGACAAGTAGAACAACTTTATGACAAGTAGAAAAAAACTAGTTCTCACGTTGGGCGCCAAATATTTGTCGCTCATCTGATTCTGCATGTTTTTCTTAGGGAGTGCCAGGTTATTTTTAACCAAAGACCTTACAAATGCTGTCAAGCTTTTGAAATCAAAAATTACGGTGAGAATACATAAAAAGCTTTTTTAACTGGCTTAAGTCATCGGTTGGCTTCTTTGAACTAAGTTAACCTGAGAATCTTTTACGAAGAAGCCTGCCGATGTCTTAAGCCAGTTAAAAAACTCTGTATGTACTTGCACCTTTCAAAAATGTTTAGTTTAATATTTTCAAGTATAAACGTTTTTCACATTGGGCGCCACTTTCGTCTTTAGCTTTCTTTTTCAACCATTTTCAAAAAAACTATCCACCTTATCTTTTCCCATTCTTTCCCTCATATTTAAAACTTCTCATGATTCTGTCTCTTTTTTCTCTCCCTCCACCTCCACCTTTCCCGCCTTAGCTCTTTCTCGACTTATCTTGAATTATGAGTTTATTCTTTTGACGTGTCACCTTAGTTTTCTGGTTCTTCTTCGATGACTTCTTCTGCTTCTCTGGCGATATTGTTTCCAAGGCAATTTCTTTATTCGATTTTCCACTGGAATTTGAAGAATTCGATGTGGCAGAATCCTCATGTCGCTGACTACTCGTTGCATAACGTGTCAGGACTTGAAATTTGGCAAAAAGTTTATTTTTACTTTCCTTCTCCTTGATTTTATCTTCGGTTTTCTGATATTTGGTAACCGTACGATCCGGTAGGGGACATAGTTCCATGTCATTTGTTTTCGTTGGCCTTGGCATGGGCCAATTGAGATTCGGTTCGGCGAAATTGTTACCCAACAGAGAAGTGGCAGCCGCAACTTTTACAGTTTTTCCTTTAAAAGCGTCCAAGGGTTGTTTGTAGAGCGGCAGGGGATGATCTGGGGGTGGACACATTCTCAGCGCGTCTTCCTTGAGTCTGGGTAGTTTTGTTAGTTTTTGATTCATTTGATGGGGCCATTGATAATCGGAATCAGTATTACCGGAAGTTGTTATGGACATCGTCGTGGGCACCAGAGCCATTGAGGAGGGTTTGTGTATGCTCGACAAAGAGGAAAGTGACTGATCCGAGAATGAAGCTGAACTCATGGAGGACTCTTCAGCCATGTGGCGCAACATGAGCGTGAGTTTCATTTCATGTTGTCTCTGCATCAGGATGGCCTTCCTTTCACCTTCCAAATGGGCTTGGCGTATGGCATTTGATAGAACACGTTCCTTCCATTCCCAGACATCTTTCTCCCGTTCCAGCTGCATCAATTGCATTTCTAGTTTCCTCGATGAGTCCCTCAGGTCAATGACTTTATTGAAGTATTTATAGAGCAGGGTGCGCATCTCTTCGCTGCTCAGCTTATTAAGCCTGGCCATAAGCATTTGTTCGCCCTTTTCCCGCTGCAAACGTTCATCGGTATTAATGGACTTATTGCCGCAGATCATTTCATTTTTGAACTCAATGGCAGCATCAATGGCCTCTATGGCCTCATCACATTCCAAGAGCTTACGTTCCTCTTTCTGGCTCAGAGCCTTTTCCCGCTTAAATTTCTGATCCAAAAAACATCGCTGATCCAAAAGATGATCACGTGTTTTACGTAAATTTCTAATTTCATGTCGGAGGCCTTCATGTTGGGCGCCATTTTCTTGCTGTTGTTGAGGTTGCTGTAGATTCTTTGATTTCTCCTTGAGAATGTGATCCAAATGATTGATACGTGATTGGATTTCTTGCATTTCAGGATGCTCTTCGGCTGGCGTGGGATGGACCAATGCCTTGGTGATTTTCTTTGGTATTTCTTCTTCCTTTGGCAGGTCTTTCAATTCCTGCTCCAAATTCTCCTTCTTTTTCTTCTCTTTTTCCACCTTTTTCTTGAGATTTTCCAACAGGGTTTGAGAATCTTTCAGAGATTGCTGCAGCTTCTTGACTTTTTGCACACTATCCCCAGCAATGTGTTTTATGGAGGTCACATCGTTAAGCCGCTGCTCCAAACGAGCTACATCGGCCTTCAAACGTTCCACCTCCTTTTTGTCCTTTCGCTGTTGCAGAGCTTTGTTTAAAGACTTCTTCGACTTGTCATATTCCTCTTGCAGTTTATTGCGTTTCTTGTGAAATCTCTGCTTGGCTGTGGTCCTGGTATCACTGGTCTCCACCAGATCCATAATAATGTTCTGTTTCAGCTGTATTGTTTTCTCTAGCTCCTCGATTTGTTTCATACGCCCCTCTATATTGGCATCTAATTTACGTATCTTCTTATCAATGGCTTCGCGGCCAGAATGCGCTTTGGGTTCCCAGGTTGTATCTTTACTCGGTCCCAACTCTTTGTTCCCCGTCCCCGTGTCCATTTGTTCTCTTGTGGCCAATTGTTGCAGCATGGCAAGTTCCACACTTGACAAAGCCGATCCAGGGTGTATGGAGCGCCTACGTCCACGTTCCGACGAAGCCAATGAAGGTTTCCTCTCCTCAGCATTTGTGGTCCTTCGAAATAGCCCACTTTCTTGGGATTCTGTTACAGCCTTGGGATGCTGGCTCATAAAGTCGACATATTTCTTTCTTGCCATTTCATCCGTTTTCTTCTCCAGTTTTTCCATTAACAATTGTAATTTGTTTTCGCTATCTGAACATTGAAGTTCCGAATCGGAATCATTTTCAGAGTTGGCAGGCAGGGACAGTTCCGGATCGGTAACATCGGGATCACTTAGTTCATTTGCACTTTCTTCTTCATTTAATTTTGGGGTTTCGCCTTCTTGCAGTTCCGCTTCATCCTGTTCTTGTATGGGATCCAAAATTGTATCGGTCTGAGAGGAATCATTGGAATTCAGGCAGTCATCACATTCCTGCTTCTGTATCAGCCAAGATTCAATCTGCTGCTTTTCATCTTCTCCAATGGCATTGGAATTTATTAATCTGTCAAAGAAAAAAAGGGGAAGGATAGAATATTTATTTTTTATAATAACAGTAATGATAATAATAAAAATAATAATAATAATAATAATAATAATAATAATAATAATAATAATAATAACAATAATAAAATAATAATAATAATAATAATAATAATAATAATAATAATAATAATAATAATAATAATAATAATAATAATAATAATAATAATAATAATAATAATAATAATAATAATAATAATAATAATAATAATAATAATAATAATAATAATAATAATAATAATAATAATAATAATATAATAATAATAATAATAATAATAATAATAATAATAATAATAATAATAATAATAATAATAATAATAATAATAATAATAATAATAATAATAATATAATAATAATAATAATAATAATAATAATAATAATAATATAATAATAATAATAATAATAATAATAATAATAATAATAATCATAATAATAATAATAATAATAATAATCATAATAATAATAATAATAATAATAATAATAATAATAATAATAATAATAATCATAATAATAATAATAATAATAATAATAATAATAATAATAATAATAATAATCATAATCATAATAATAAAAACTTTCAAACGTTTAGACATAAATCAGAATTTTTTTAAAAAACGTTTGCTCGACACAAAATATTCCAGGGAAACAAATTTTTATTTTTTTAGAAACCGATTTTAATTACATTTTATTTTAATTATAGCTGAATTTTTATTTGGCGTTTAATAGTTTACGTTTAACGCTTTTCGAAATTATGGATTTGAGACCTTACATATTGTCCCATTAAACCTGTATGATTTCGGAACAACGTTGGGCGCCAGTATCGCCTTGTCTTCTTTTTCCATTTTTTATTAATATTCTCTGAAGGTCTGATTTATGCAGATTGAAAGATAAAATAAACATCTTCCGAGTTAGCAATTTAGCTATTTAATTTGCTGGGTACCGTAACCACACTGATTTTGTCATCGGCAGACAACATATAAATGTAAGTTACTTTTATGTATCTGGATACCATGTTAGAAGCTCTATTGGTCCATTTTCTTAATGGGCTGCTAGTTCACGAACTTTCATTAGGTTAGGTTCATTGTCTGTCTATCCGTCTGTCTGTCTGTCTGTCTGTCTGTACGTCTGTCTGCCTGTCTGTTGTAATCACGCTATCTTTCGAATAAATTGAGATAGATGGCTAAAATTTTGCACACATGTTTAGTTTTCCAGTAGGCAGGTTAAGTTCGTGAATGGGCCATGTAGGTCCACGTTTTCATATAGCCCCCATAAAACGGTACCTCCCGATATTCGGTATTTTGATGATTTTAGCGACATTATTCACCGGAATTGTTTCAAATTTGATATTTGAAGTTCGAAATGGATTCTACACCCTCAGACAGAAAATTGTCTGTGCAAATCCACGTCTTCGTATAGGCTCCATATAACGGTACCTCCCGATATTCGGTATTTTGATGATTTTAGCGACATTATTCACCGGAATTCTTTCGAATTTGGTATTTGAAGTTCGTAATGGATACTACACCCCAAGACAGAAAATTGTCTGTGCAGGTCCACGTCTTCGTATAGCCCCCATATAACGGTACCCCCCTGTATTCGGTATATTGATGCTTTTAGCGACATTATTCACCGGAATTGTTTCAAATTTGGTATTTGAAGTTCGAATTGGATACTACACCCTAAGACAGAAAATTGTCTATGCTGGTCCAGGTCTTCGTATAAGCCCCATATATCAGTACATCCCTATATTCGGTATTTTGACGATTTTAGGTACAATACGCACCGAAATTGTTTGAGATGTGGTGTTTGAAGTTCGTAATGGATGCTACAGCCTGTGACAGAAAACTGTCTATGCAGGTCCAGGTCTTCGCACAGCTCCGATATAACGGTACCTCCCTATATACGGTATTTTGATGATTTTAGCTACATTATTCATCGTTTATTTCAAGTTTCGAATTTGAATATTGTAATGGCTTATGACAAACAATGCCTATGTAGGCCCACGTTGTATACACCTCAATATAACGGCTATATTCGGTATTTTTAAAATTTTAACAGAATGTTTTAACGATTTTATTTTCTGAAAATTTCCAAATTCGTTCCAAATGGTGAAGGGTACTCAAAGTTCGGCCGAACTTACTACTTTTTAACTTGTTTATATTACAAACTTTCACGTTGGTCGCCACGTTCTTGTTGAGTCTCACATTCTGGATATCTCTACAACAATTTATAACCAAATTGTTGCAAATGCCCATAGAGTATATTGAAATCGGCAATTCATACCTGTCCAAAATTAGTAAACTGGACAAGCAGTTTGTGTGCAAAACAGGACAAGCACATATTTATGCTTACCACTGAACCGAAACAAAACTTCGCTTTGAGCCATCTGAAGCCCATTTTAAAAACCTGAGCCGAACCAACTTAAATCTACAAGTGGTTTGCCACCCTGATTTGGCAACAGATAAGCAGGGTGAGATGAAAAAAACTGCAACCAACTTCAGACTGCTATCATTTCTAAGCCACTCGTCCGACAGCTGTTAAAATTATTCCAGTGACAACTCATTTTGGTGAGAATTTTCCAGAAAAAAGTTATTCGTAATGGAATTCAAGCGTGATGGTGTGATTTCTTTATATTTGGCTGGAAGTGGCTATCGTCAGAGCACTCCAACATTTAAATGTGGGTAAAGCCATTGAAATTCCAATAGTGCAAGAACTTACACCGCAACAGAAAAAATAGACTCAAAAGAGCTAAAGAGTTACTTCGCTTGGCCGAAAGTTGTGAACTGCCGAATTTGATTTTCTCCGATGAGAAAACATTCGTTGCCTAGCAGTTCGTAAACAAACAAAATGATCGTGTTTACTTGCCAAAGAGGTCACCTTCGATTGACCACCAGAACTCAAGCGCCGCCATAACAGCAGGTGGACGCTCTCCGCTTGTAATAATCGACCGTGACATCAGAATAAATGCCGAATATTATCGCAAAACTATTCTGGAGGGTGTATTAAAGCCGTGGGCGCGCAAACATTTTGGCCGCAGACCTTGAACATTCCAACTGGCACACGCCACCCAAGAATGGTTACAAAATGAGGTTTCCCGCTTCATTTCCAGCGCACAATGGCCATCAAAATCTCCGGATACCAATCCGTTGGATTATTGTGTCTGGAGTATTTTGGATATCAATGTTGGCACCAAAAAATACCAAAGTGTCGATCACCTCAAGCAAGCGCTTCGCCGGGAATGGCCCAAAATACAGCAGAGAAACATTCGGGCAGCGTGTGACGGTTTCATTGTCCGTTTGAAGGCCATAATTCGTGCCAAAGGTAGCCATTTCGAACTAATCTAAACTTATTCTAAAATTTGATGCTATTTCCGACATTTGTGCTTTCATTCAATAACATTTAAAAAAGTATATAATAAATATGGTGTTTGACTTTGTTGCAGTTTTTTTATCTCACCCTATATATTCAAAAAATGTAATAACATCAGATACTCACTTTGATAGTAAATCCTCGGCATTGGAAACCAATTTGGAATATTGATTGGCTGCGAATTGCAAGGCAAATGGGTCTTGAGATTTCTTTGGAGAATTGGATTCCTCAGCTTCATCGTCCTCGTCTTCATCCTCTTCGTCCTCATCCTCCTCCCCATCCTTCTCTTCATTAACGTCTTCCTCACTGATGTCATTATTTTGTGTCGGTACCTCTTGCGGTATGGCCGGTGTATTGTCATCCGAAAATGAATTGATAACTACAAAATTATGGACACACTGGACCTTAAAGGCAAACTGCATATTGGCAATGGTCTCTGCAATGTCACGTTCCCACGGTGAGATGCACACCAGGACCAAGGTTTGGGCACGACCACCAAATGAATCCTTCAACATGGTCGTTAACATGCTGCGATTATAGGGAATGCAGTCATAGCCCTTGTGGACCAAGGCGGGATCTATGAGGCTGCCAATTACACACTCCAAGGCCTGTAGTCCCTTGTCCATGGGCACATAGGTGGTTTGATCATTGGGAGTTTTAAGCATAAGTCGATCCGTGGCACACAAATCTGTAAAACTTGCTGTCGACAAGCGATGTTGTATCAGACCCTCCTTGGAGATCCAACGTTGTTCCAGTGTGATGCTGAACAGAGAATGACCCATTTGTGTTTTGTTGGAGGTGAGTAATTTATAGCCCACTTGGAGCCAATGAAAGGCATCTGTGATATTCATACACTGGACACTGCCCACACCGAAGATGTCTCGGATGATCTCACGACAAATCTCCACCCAGGTGATGTTAACTATACAAGTCCTTTCCGGATGACGATGTATGTGATTGAATATTTCCCGTACACAGAAGGCAATCAGGCCTTGATCATCACTCTGTGTTGGACCATGGCCGTATAAAGTATAGGTTTTACCACAACCCCTCTGGCCATATGTGACCACAGAAGCATCAAAGCCCTCCATGAGCATGGTCATCATGGGTAGCAGAGTTTTTTGATACACATATAATTGGCTACAGTCCAAGGGTAGGGCATGGGTGACGGGAAATGAATGGGGTCCCACTTGAACAACATCTGGCGGTTCTCTACAACCTGGGGCCGTTAGACCTGGTAGGCCTTTTATAAACGGTATTGCCCGCACACAACATTTGTCCTTGGCATTTAGCTCATCCACTTCTTTCTTAATCACTAGGGCATTATCTTCCGTTTTTATGTTATCCACTTTGTCTTCTTCTCCTTCTGCACATTCTTCTTTCACTTGAGTTTTCGTATCTTCATTTTCTTTTTTCACCTCTTGCAATCCCTTGGGACAAATACGCACTGCAACATGTATTGGAATTTCCATGTCCGTTTTTTCTTACTATTATTTTCTATCTACATTTAAAAGTTCCGAAAGATTTCGTATTCCCTAATACGCCGTGATCCGTCAACGACTTCCACCGAACAACATTACTCGTTGATGTCTTAATTGAAACTGTCTTATCACCACTCCACGAAGAGAGGTCGGCCGACGAAAAACATCGAGTGATTGCTTTGGCAGCAGGTAGCCGAACGCTGCGCTGAACAACTGCTAATTGTATTGATTTCATTTTGATTGCGCCCATCATTTATGACAGTCTTTCTCGAGTTGTTACCTGTCGATCAGGGCAAACTAAAACACCACCACCTGGACTTCTGACTTAAATACCAATAAAAAATTATGACACAAGGAATTTCCTAGAGTACTTAGAAAATTTGTTTAAATTGCTCAAAGTTGGAAATGTTGTGGAGGCGCGTGAAAGACTTTTTAAAGGATTTAACATCCTATTGGGCGAATACAAGAACGGAGGGTTGATTAAAAAATCTGATGACATTTCGGACAGAAGATGTTACGTTTCAGATACTAGAATAAAAAACAATTTAAACAGTTAATTTTGAGATTGAAAGTCTTCATTTAAATTCTAACGTTAGACGCCAACTACTGGTTCAACTTAGAATTCTTGAATTTTAGTTATGGACATATTTCTGTACAGGGTGAGGTGAAAAAATTTTTAAGCCACTCTTCCGAAAGCTGTTAAAATTATTCCAGTGACAGTTCAGTATTTTGTTTACAAGCGTACAAAAGCATTTTGGTGAGAATTTTACAAAAAAAAAGTTATTTGTGATGGAATTCAAGCGTGATAGTCTGATTTCTTTATATTTGGCTGGAAAACCACAAGGGGGTATCGTTAGAGCACTCCATCGCTCGTTACCGTTATACTGGTAGCGTAATCCGATGTCAAGGAAGTGGACGGAAGAAAACAGCAACATCAGCAGAAATGGTTCGAATAGTAATGAAGCGACTTGATCGAAGACCGCGTCGCATTGGTCGAAAAATGGCTTGTGAGCTAAACATATCACAATATCTATTCGGCAAATATTGGAACATGAGCTCGGGGTAGAGCCATTGAAATTCCAAAAAATGCAAGAACTTACACCGCAACAGAAAGAAAATAGACTCAAAAGGGCTAAAGAGTTGCTTCGCTTGGCCGAAAGTTGTGAACCGCCGAATTTGGTTTTCTCCGATCAGAAAATATTCGTTGTCCAGCAGTTTGTAAACAAACGAAATGATCGTATTTACTTGCCAAAGAGGTCAGCTGAAAATGTGCACCTTCGGTTGGCCACCAGAACTCAAGCGCCGGCCATGGTGATGGTGTGGGCCGACATAATAGCCGATGGTCGCTCTCCGCTCGTATTAATCGACCGTGGCATCAGAATAAATGCCGAATATTATCGCGAAAATATTCTGAAGGGTGTATAAAAGCCTTGGGCACACAAACATTTTGACCGCAGGCCTTGGACATTCCAACAGGACACAGCACCATCGCACTCAGCAACCGCCACCCAAGAATGGTTACAAAACGAGGTTACTCGCTTCACTTGCAGCGCACAATGGCCACCAAAATCTCTGAATACCAATCCGTTGAACTATTGTGTCTTGAAAAGCAAGGTTGGCAATGAAAAATACCAAAATGTCGATCACTTCAAGCAAGCACTTCGCCGGGAATGGGCCAAAATATTGCAGAGCAACATTCGGGCAGCCTGTGACGGTTTCATTTTAAAATTGAGTGCTATTTCCGACATTTTTTACTTTCATTCATAAAATTAAAAAAAAATGTTGCAGTTTTTTATCTCACCCTGTATAAGGGTTGTGGTAAGGTGATGATTGACAACTGGATAACTACCTCAAGAGTCTTCGCTAATGGCGACAAAAGCTTGTCTTGCTTCCGTAGTGGGACCACACTACCCACTTCCAACTGAAAACCACTGGGATCAGTGTCTCTTCTATTTTGAGTATTCGCCGAGCAGGCTTAAAGCTAGCGGCTGCAGCATTAATGCTGCCTCGGAAAAATCTTACTGCTAGCCGAACATCAGATTGGCGTCTGAAGCAACGATTGGTGTACTCTCTGAAAGTGGCTAAGCCAACGGTTAGGGAAAGGACGGCGTATAGAGATTATGAAATCGCCGATTGTAGAAAGAAGAGAAATTACGGGTACGTCTACTGGTGACACTATGATTGTTTGGCAAACTGTTAAACTTGTCCATCATTTCCTCCTCTGGTCAATATCTAGTGCGTTGGGCTTTGACTGGTAAATAACCAATTTCAAAACTACTAACTGTAGAATATAAATATTAAACATTTCTATGTCGGCAGTTTCAAACTTTTCTGGGAGTAGCAGTCAACTTTGAATACATATATGGTCACCAAATTGGTCTACACCTATCTGCCACGTCAGGTTCAATCCTTTATCAATGCATTTTAATTATAAAAACTGAAATATAACTAAATTCTGAAATATTTATTAAAATTAGTTACTCTCAAATATTCCTTCGATCTATAAAAACTACTATCTCGTCTGTCTTACATCAGTATTAAACAAGTGAAAAAAACATTAAGTTCAGCCGGGCCGAACTTTTAATACCTTCCCTTAAAGGCGAAAGAAACATTAGAACACAAATAGCAATTGTTAGACATATTCGTGGGAAATGTGGCAAAAATCATCAAAATGCCGAATTTCGGGAGGTACCGTTGTATGTGAGCTATACATGCAATGTTTCGCCACCGGAGCTAGACCCCATTATGACCAACAAAGTCTACTTTTTAGGCAAATCCGTGAAAAAATGTGGCAAAAATCATCAAAATACCGAATATCGGGAGGTGCCGTTATATGGGAGCTATACCAAAACATGGACCGATATATCTCATTTTCAATACCAACCATCCTAGACACAAGAAAAATTGTTCTGCTATATTTTGACGCCCTGTCTCAAATAATGTGGGCTGTTTCAACAGCCAGACAGACTTAAATGGATTTAGAATTTTATGTTGATTATGACTATATATACTTTATAGGGTCTACGATGAATATTTAGGGATGACATAGTTAATATACCCTCCTTTCCAAGGCGGAGGGTATAAAAATAAACATTATTAGAAGTTAGAAGAACGACACGTTGTTTAAGATACTTTGATAGAGGTTGCTGTTCTGAAGACTGGGATGGAGTCCCATATTCCAACGACTCAGAGATTGACGCTGCCTAAGACCCAGGCCCCTAGGGATTTTCACCATGGAAAGATTTGTGGAGTTATTGTTTGAAGTTAATTCGGTATGAATGAAGATCGCAAAATTATAATATCTTTTGTCGAACTGTCTACAGTCTTATTGTAAATAATCCACGGAGTTCACTTTCCTGGTACCGACTGCTTCTCATTCGCAATCAATTAAGAAGTTTCTTATCTTTTGTCAATTTGTCACAAATTTTTAACACGATGATCGAACGGCACACTGTTTCTCAAAATTTGCGCATAACATTAAACTGATTATTTTAACATTTAAAATAAAACTCCGGTTATTTGTATTTTTATTTTTGGGGAATTGCTTCTTTTATTCTTTTTTTGATATATATTTTTAAAGAATATATTCTATATGTATATATTGATGATATCTATAACATTGATTACAAAAATTCTTATTAATGGATTTTTGTAAGTGAGTGCTTGTTTGTGTGTGCGGTATATAATCGTATATACCAATTTTATTTCATTTTTTGTTCATTAAAACTTAATATTTAAAAAAATATTCTTAAAAATTCTTAAAAAATAAAAATATACAGTATATAAAACAATGGAAGTACATGGATAATAAATAAATGAAGGTGTTAGTTGGGTGGTGGGTACTTGGAAGTGAACTCAAATGTAAATGGAAGTTTTAACATAGGTTAAAAATCCATGAAATATAAAAACAAAATAGTTTTAACTTTTGTTGGATTTCAATTTGTTTTTTTTTTTTTTTTTAATAAATTAAGTTGTTATTTCTTGAAGGAAATGTGAGGTTCGTATAATACTTTTTGTGGTACACTAATAGTAGTTTTTATGAAGATAATCTCGTTTGAAAGTGATAGTTTAGTTAACTTATTGTTTTTGTTGTTTGAGTGCAGTTATTTTAGTGAAAAACAAAAAAGGGTTGATTTTCAATCAAAAAGAACAAAATAATACTTGTTTTGTTTAGTTTAACTCATTTCCACCAATTCTGCAAGGAGCTAAACAGCAGTTAGTGAATAAAATTTGGATTGAAAGCTAAAAGCCATCAAGAGATACCCTGGATTTAACACAAGTTGTAAACTGGGTCTAAGTCCTTCCTCTTTGCCTTGCTTTTATCCTTATCAAGTGCCATGATGTTCTTACATATTCAACTTAATCTATCTGTTGATTAGCTCCATCCCGGAGGAATTGAGAATTATACTACCACAAGAATATTCAATATTCTAACAAGGATAGACACAAAATACATGGAAGTTTAAATGAGGACTAGTCATTAAGTATATCATTAAAATTACATTGCTCTTTCTTTCTAAATATAAAATAAAATATAAAAATTATGAGTATTATAAAATAGTACAAAGAGATCGTTATAACAATAGAGAAAATAAAATACAGTTTCCTGCCAGGACTTAATCAATTAGACATAAAATATAAAAATCTTAAAATAATAACAAAACTATATATAAAACTTATATTAGGATTATTAAATTTATATTCTTTTATAAATGCCTTTTACATGTGTGTGAGTGTATGTGTTACCAAAGTAGGAAGAATAGTAAGTCTATTAGGTGATTTTAAAATATATATGCTAAGGTAACAAACATCGAACCTATATTGCTGTGAACATAAATTTGTTAATTTCTACAAAATAAAGAAGGAGGACATAAGTGAAACAAAAAAAAAACATAGAACACAAATATACATAACAAAAAAAGGAAGAAAACAGAAAACTTTGGAAAAATTGCAATGGAAACTCCAGACATTGCTACAAAACTTGTTCCCTGGAATATAACAGACATCTTAGTGCACTCGATACCAAGATCAGGATTTTCATTAAGCAAGAACAGAAGAAAGTATCACTGAAGATTTATTAGAGAGCTTTCGGAGGGGATTTTATAAATTGTAGACATTCTTCAGGACACCTTTTGTATTTGGAAGAACTTTTAGATACAACAAGTTAAAAAGCAGAGCCGGGCCGAACTTTAAATACCCTCCACCATTTAGAACGAAGTTGGAAATTTTCAAAAAAATAAAATCCGTTAAAAATTCTGTTAAAATCTTAAAAATCCGGGTCTATACGACGTGGACCTACATAGGCATTGTTTGTCATAAGAAATTACCATTTTCAAATTCAAAACTTGAAATAAACGATGAATAATGTAGCTAAAATCATCAAAATCCGTATATAGGGAGGTACCGTTATAACGCAGCCATACGAAGACCTGGACCTGCATAGATAATTTTCTGTCACAGGCTGTAGCATCCATTACGACCTTTAAATACGACATCTTAAAAAATTTTGGTGAGTATTGTACCTAAAATCATCAAAACACCGAATATTGGGAGGTACTGATATATGGGGCCTATACGAAGACCTGGACCTGCATAGACAATTTTCTGTCACAGACTGTATTTCCCATTACGAACTCTTAGTACGTAATTTGAAAATACTCTAGTGAATAATGACGCTAAAATCATCAAAATACCGAATGTTGGAAGGTACCGTTATATGGGGGCTATACGAAGACGTGGGCCTGCACATACAATTTTCTGTCATAGGCTGCAGTATCCATTTCGAACTTCAAACACCACATCTCAAACAATTTCGGTGAATAATGTCTCTAAAATCGTCAAAATACCGAATATCGGGAGGTACCGCTATATGGGGGCTATATGGAAACGTGGACCTACATGGCCTATGTACGAACTTAACCTGCCTACTGGCAAAATAAACATGTGTGCAAAATTTTAGCCTTCTATCTCAATTCGTTCGAAAGATATCGTGATTACAACAGAGACACGGACAGACAGACGGACAGACACACAGACGGACATCGCGCTAGAATCCATCCAAAGTCTCCTATAAGTAAATGTCCTTCTAATCTACTAATTATGAAAGGTCGTAAAAGTAAGGCTAAACTCGATTTAATCAGGGGTCCAATTATCGCATTTAATACCAGTTTCGATCGAAATGTCTCTTTGGGTGTACATTTTCTTGTTGGAATTGAAAATTTTGAATAGAAACTATGAGATATCGAATGCGAGAATTAATCTCCTACTTTCTCTATCAACATTTTTGGTATTTCGATGGATTTTTTTCGATAACGAGTACGAGAGCTTTCACATTACGTCAGGATAGCATTCTGCCCGAAATTAAAAAAAAAACTCCCACCTTCTGATAGTGCTAATACCTTGAACAGCACAAGTGGAATACATTCTCCAAAACAGGATGTCAAAAGGAATACTAAACGGACAGATTCTTTAGCAGATGTTCCAAATACATTGGATAATTTCCTTTTTATGGAATTTTTAAAATGCATATTTTAGGGCTCACACTATTAAAGGACTTACTTCAACACAGGATGTCTGAAAAAATGGTTAACTTCTTTCAGGGAGTTGTTGAGACTCCCCATCTTTTTAGGGCTCTATCGGAGATTTTAATATGTTCCAACTACATTGGGCAAATCCACTTTTACGGAATTTTTAAAATGCACATTTTAGGGGTCACACTATTAAAGGACGTATTTCGACACAGCATGTCTGAAAAATGGTTAAGTGACCCAGGCTTCTGGACCTGTCCACAAACATCTTGAGTAATTCCAATTTCAGCATCTTTTTTAATTTTGGCTATTTTTTTAAAAAAAGAAAGGTCAAGGACATTTAAGGACTATTTTCTAATTGATTATTTGTCATTGAATAAGTTCTTGAAGGACAATAAGTAAAAAAAAAAACTAAATTACTTTTTTCAGGGACTACGACGGATTTAAATGTTAATTTTGAAGGACTATTCCTTCAATGACTAGTTTTGAATTTTTGACAAAGAAACTTTCGAAGGCAAAAATGGTAAGATTTGAAAAAAAATCTATAGCATTTTCCGCAAATTTTATATTTTAGTTAAGGTATGTTCTTAAAAGGATAAACAATGTATTTTTAAAAATATTTTTCAAGTATTTCCAATATATTTTTATGGCTATTTTTGAGAAAATTCCTTAAAAGTTCATTTTTTGAAGGGGTATCGATGATTTTGATGAAGATTTTTATGGTAAATTCCTTAAAGTGCTAGAAGTGAATTTTAATTATTTGAGAATTTTTAATAAAATCTTTCAAGGATTTACCAAATTAGAAATTTAAAAGGCCTTGAGATTTAAATATAGATTGTATGGATTAGTAGCGAATTAAAAAAGTTTTGAATGAATTTCACTACATTTTTGTGATTGTTTTTGAAAAACTTTCAAAGCTATAGGTGTGGAGTTTTAAGGAAAAAAATTAAGCCTGACTATTTTGCAACAACGAAAAAATTTAAGATTTATTGAATCATTGATTTTTAAAAAATTCTATCAATTCAAAGTTTTACTTTTGACAGCAAGAGAGATCGAGGCCTGAATTCGCCTCCTGTGTGACATTTTTATATTGGCCTTGGTACTTCCAAGTACTTCCTAAGCTTGAAAAAATGGGGGCTTAAAAAATATTTTTGTAGGCTATAAGTGAATTTTAAGAATATTTGTTAAAAGACTTTCAGGAAAATAGTAGAAGTTTAAGCATTTGCTATGAAGGACGATAGTCCAAGCAAAACAGATTTCTCTCTCAACATAGTAGAGAATATTTTGTAAACAGATTTGTTATTAGCATTTCAAAATGTCACATGAAAAAATTAAATCTGGGCCTAAAAAGTTTAACTTAACTTATGCCATAAAAAGTGCAGATATGCCGGTCAAAAATTCCCCTTTTCGATAAATATGCTCGATAAATGATTGGGAGACAATGCGTGATGTAGGGTTAACAACAGTCTATTTTGGAAAGAAGAAGACGAAGTTAAATGATCAAAAATGAATTCTATCAATGGGACCATTTCATTCCCAATTTTCCTAGAATTCCTCTAAAATTCGCTTGAATCAATTAACGTCAACAAACTGCACTGTCTTTCAATGACTAATAAATTCCACTATTCGCAGAAAATCGAGATGGACTTGAAATTGCTTTCTACGAAAATATATCCGATGCCAAAAATTTCCCTTTCTAATATCTTTGCTCATTAAACGATTAAGAGACAACGCTTGATGATGGGTTAATCACAATCTATTTTAAATTGAGTTTCTGAGGATGATCAAAAATTAGACCATTTATTCCCAGGTTCTTGTACCAGATTATGAATCAAACTGCACAACGTTTTGCCAAAAATAACTAAAATCAGTTCTGGAGTTCCATATTAATTATACACCTTCCAAAGACAACGCAAAAATTATTCCACATAAAAATAAAAATAAAAAACTACCAATTCTAGGGCTCACAAATACAACAAAACACATATTTCATCATTACTGCCTAAAATACGCCTATATAGAACCCAATAATTAAGTACCAACTGTATGCAGCACGCACCATAGGTAGGTCTTTAGCTAAACTAAAAATATTCTTTAACTTACTTATAGTTCTCTAGATGTGTCTTACTTGCTTTTGTTTTCATTTTTTCTTAGCAATTGATCTGTTGTGTTCCTCTAATTCTTCCTGGACTTATCCTGTATAATGATTTTATTCTTTTGCCTTGTTACCTTTGTGTTTTGAGCATTTCCTGATAACTTTTTGAGATTCTCTTGCGGTATGGCTGGATGAGGTAAATCGATTTTCTGCAAATTACCCTCCTTGTCTTTGTGTCGTTTATTGCCAGCCGAATTGGAAGATGACGTCGATGGTATGTTCGAATCATCGGTGTGCTGAGTATTACTGCTGGCATAACGTGTCAGAACTTGAAATTTGGCAAATAGTTTATTCTTCGTTTCCCTTTCCTTGTCTTTGATCTTGTCCAAAGGTTTGTATTTGCTGAGCGTGGGATCGGTAATGGGACACATTTCCATTTCATTGATTTTTGAGGCCTTAACCAGCCGTGAGTTTGTGGTGGTGGTGGTGTGGCTATTACTTTGCTGATGGCCAGATGGACCATGATGACTGAGCCACTCAAATTCCGAGTCGGAATATACGGCATTGGCCAGTGTGGTTGGTGTGGGCAATGCCAACTGTGATGGTTTGTAGAAACGTGGCATCGACAACGATTGATCTGAGAACGAGGCTGAACTATTCGAAGTCTCTTCCGCCAAGTGCCTTAACATCAAGGTTAATTTCATTTCATGCTGTCTTTGCAGGAGTACCGCATTACGTTCTCCCTCCAGTCTGGCTTGTCGCACCGCATTGGAGAGAACTCGTTCCTTCCATTCCCAGGCATCTTTCTCCCTCTCTAATTGCACTAATTGTATTTCCAGTTTGCGTGACGAATCTCTGAGGTCAATAACTTTGGTAAAATATTTATAGAGTAAGGTGCGCATCTCTTCATTCGATAGCTTGTTGAGGCGGGCCATTAGCATTTGCTCGCCCTTCTCACGTTGCAGACGCTCACTGGTATCAATGGATTTGTGACCACAAATCAATTCATTTTTGAATTCTATAGCCGCATCAATGGCCTCTATGGCCTCATCGCATTCCAACAGCTTACGTTCCTCTTTGTGGCTCAGCATTTTATCGCGCTTCAACTTTCGATCCAAAGAACATCTTTGATCCAATAAATGGTCCCGAGTACGACGCAGATTACGTATTTCATGGCGTAAACTTTCACGTTGTTCATCGTCACGATATTGTTCCAAGTTATCTGATTTCTCTTTAAGGACATGATCCAAATGGGCAATGCGTGACTGGACATCCTTCAGATGTTTCGATTTCTCCTCAGGAAGTTTTGGCCCGTCCTCGAGTTTGCATGTTATAGCTTTGGTGTTTTCTTTTTCCTTGAGCGATTTCAACTCGTTTTGCAAAGCCTCCTTAAGTTTCTTCTCTTTCTTCACCTTCTTTTGCAGCTCCTCCATTAGCTTTTTGGATTCTTGCAGAGACTGTTGTAGTTTCTTGACCTTTTGTACACTTTCGCCGGCGATATGTTTTATGGAGGTTACATCATTGAGTCTTTGCTCCAAATGATTTATAACCGCCTTTAAACGATCCAATTCACTTTTGTCCCTTTGCTGGGCCATTGCCTTGTTGAGGGACTTTTTGGATTTTTCATATTCAGCTTCTAGCTTGGCACGCTTCTTGTGGAATCTTTGTTTGGCTGTGGTCCGCGTGTCGCTATTCTTAATGAGCTCTGTGATAATATTCTGTTTCAATTGCATGGTCTCCTCAATTTCTTTGATTTGTTTTTGCCTCGCCTCTATATCGGCATCTAGTTTGCGTAGTTTCTTTTGTATAGCCTCCAAGGGGGAATTGAGAATAGGTCTAAGTACCGGCAAATCAGTTGACACATCCAAAAAGTCGTCTGGTTGAGTTTCCAGCTGATGATTCTCTTTTGATTTATCGCTTTCGGAGCGCTCCCTAGACGCCACACGATTAAGCATTGCAATCTCAGCGCTGGATAATGTGGAGCCCGGTTGTATGGAACGTCTACGACCAACTCCTCCGCCACCACCACTACCTGAAACCACAACTCCGCCGCTATTACTATCACTGCTGCCTAGCGAAGGCTTACGCTCATCCTGTTTTTCTTCATAGCTGTTGTCTTTTTTTAGCCGCATGCTTTCCTGAGATTCCATAACACCTTTAGGATGGGTTTCCATAAAATCTTCATACTTTTGTTTTACAATATCATCGGTCTTTGTTTTCAAATCGTCCATTAGCAACTCCAGTTTTTCTTCCAAGTCAGCTCGGGGGGATTCCACATCAGATTCATTTGCAGAATTTTCTTGCATTGGTGTCTCTGAGTCGCTAACGTCAGGATCACTATCAACATCCTCCTCTTCCTCATCATGTTCGTCGGCTTCCTGTATGGGCCCCAAGGCATTTTCAGCCTGCATAGAATCGGTAGAATTCAAACATTCCTCACATTCTTGCTTCTGCAGTAACCATTCCTCGATTTGCTGCTTATCCGTCTCACCCAGAGTATTGGAGGATATTAATCTGTAGAACGATAGAAATTAAAAAAAATTCAATTATAACATGAAATTCATTCCACTTACTTCGACAACAAGTCCTCGGCATTGGACACCAATTTCGACCATTGGCTGGCGGCAAATTGTAAACCAAAATTATCATGGACCTGCGGAGGTATTCCCATTCCAACATCCCTCATTTCGGGTGGCAATTCATCCGGTGACACCGGGGTATTGTCATCAGAAAATGAATTGATTACCACAAAATTCCTTACACACTGGACCTTAAAGGCAAATTGCATATTACAAATGGTCTCGTTGATACCCCTTTCCAAAGGAGATACACAAACAATAACCAGAGTTTGGGCCCGGCCACCAAATGAGTCCTTGAGTAGAGTTGTCAACATGGTTTGATTATACGGCACATTGAAATTTGCTTTGAAAATTAACGAGGGATCTATAAGGGTGCTGACCACTCGCTCCAGCGACTGTAAACCCAAATCTTTGGGAAGACTTGTTGGCTGTTCCAGTGAGTTCAACATAAACAAACGTTCCGTGGCACACAAATCCGTGAAACTAGCTGTGGACAAGCGATGTTGAATCAAGCCCTCCTTTGATACCCATCTCTGTTCCAATGTTATGCTGAACAAAGAATGACCCATTTGAGATTTTGTACTGTTCAGAAGTTTGTAGCCCACTTTTAGCCAGTGGAAGGCATCATTGACATTCATGCACTGTACACTGCCCACTCCAAATACATCTCGGATAATCTCCCGACAAATCTCTACCCATGTTATGTTCACAGCATAAGTACGCTCCGGATGATTGGCAATGTGATTGAATATCTCACGTATACAACGTGCCACCACACCATGGTCATCCTTTTCGGGCGATTCATTGAAACCATTACCATACAAGGCGTATGTCTTGCCGCAACCGCTTTGCCCATAGGCCACCACAGATGCGTCAAAGCCCTCCATAAACAAACTCATCAGCGGAAAGACGGCCTGATGGTACACTTGATTCTGTGTACAATTCAGCGGCAAAGCATGCGTTACAGGAAACGAGTGGGGACCCACTTGTACTATGCCAGCTGCCGGATCCATGCATCCTATTGGTGGTTGCGGTCTTCTCGGGGCAAATGGTATATTCCGAACACAACATTTCCTATCCCTCTCGTCATCATCATAGTCATTACTGCTGCCTTCCTTTGTTGCATCCACCTCTTCTTCCTTTCGCAAATTTCCATTATTATCCTCGAAAATCGGACATATTCGCACCGCCACTTGTATTGGAAACTCCATTTTTAGTTCAATTCGGAAACACTTCTGGTCATACTGCACATACCAATGTAATTTCTCTATTTTTGTATATTTTTCATATATATTAATGTCTTTTTATTGTAAAAGCTGTAAAAGCTGGCTGATACATTTTCGTTGAGAACGACGAGAAGTAAGTAAGTAAGTAATCGATTTATTGAGACTAATTTCATTTCGATAACAAGATATGTACAGAGAATGATACCTGCGTGAAGTTAGCAACGTTGCTAACTATCGATAACATCGAATTTCACCAAAACTACAGGGTGACTCAGAACATCGAAATTTCACATTTAATACTTTTTTTCAACTGTGCGTCAGAGAAAAGACCTGGAACCGATTTGAAAACAAAATTAATTTATAAAATTATGAATGAAAAAGTAAATGAAATAAACAAATTTTGTTCCATAATGAATTCTCATACCCCAGTTATTAATTCCATACATAACATCGCAAATCAGTTTATGATACAACAACACTTTCAAATTCTGATATTTCACTGGTGGTCAGGACGGAAATCTGGCTCTGGAAGCCTCCATATAAAAACGTCCAAAAAATGTGAATGACAAATGAAAGTGGGAGCCCTTATGAGTGTTTTGGCATATAAAATGTTCTCCAAGTCAGTTTTTGGTAGAACAAATTTTCCAATTTTCTCATATTCCACTGGTGGCCAGGACGGGAATCTGGCTCTGGAAGCCTCCATATAAAAACGTCCAAAAAACTGCGAATGCCACATGAAAGTGGGAACCCTTATGAGTGTTTTGGCATATAAAATGTTCTCCATGTCAGTTTTTGGTAGAACAAATTTTCCAATTTTCTCATATTCCACTGGTGGTCAGGACGGGAATCTGGCTCTGGAAGCCTCCATATAAAAACGTCCAAAAAAACTGTGAATGCCACATGAAAGTGGGAACCCTTACGAGTATTTTGGCTTATAAAATGTTTTCCAAGTCAGTTTTTGGTAGAACAAATTTTCTCATATTCCACTGGTGGTCAGGACGGGAATCTGGCTCTGGAAGCCTCCATATAAAAACATCAAAAAAAAAAAAACTATTGTGATTGGAACTATGGTACAATAAGGAGGTAGAACAGCTTCGTAAAACTACAGAAATGCAGCTCTGAGGCTATACCCGCTTCCTGTCAGACTCATTCAAAATGATATACAATAAGTTGTTTTAATTTTTTTCATATTTTTCTCATTTTTAAAATGAGTTAAATAGCGTGAAAAATGAATGAAATACCTGGATTTTCTCTTAAAAATATTATCAAAACTGTTCAATCTTTCAATTTCATGCCTATGCTGGTTAATAGCCTTAATGTGCGAGCCACAATGTAAGTGTATTCCAATCATTGGTTTTAAAAATATTTTGTTTTTATTTTTCAAAACAATATATACATACACAAAATTGGCAGAAGTCGGCATATATTGCATTTTGTGCAAATTGCCTTCCTGTCACCTTCCTTTAAAATTTGCAATTGATTTAAAACATCAACAAGACACAAGGAAAAGCATGGATAATGGTTAAAACATAATACAAAATATTTGCGCGATTTTGACTTAACTCTAGTTTATTAGTACAAATGGTAGCATTTTGGAAAGGTAAGAGTGTCAGCAATAATTTGGCGCCAATTTTATTGACTCCGATAATGGGCCTTTTTTAGACTTTTTGGGGCTTTTATAAGAAATCCGGGTCCAAAAATCAATAATTTTACTGTTGGAGGTATTTATGTTTTTTCAACAATTTTTATAAATTTAAAAAAGTTTTCATTCAACATATTCAATTCCAAACTTGGTTTGACAGTTCACTGTAGCCGCAGCTGTGTCGATGCGTCTACCTATATTCTTCTACCATGCTTTGGAGTTAGAACCATGGCAGAAGAATACAGGTAGATGCATCAACACTTGGGAGCATTGATATGTAAAAAAAAATTAAATGTTTTGTCAAAAATAAGTAGATTTTTATATGTATTCTTATACCGATGCAAATCGGAGGTTGTTATGATATGTATTTTTCAACAATTTTTACAAATTTCAATAATTTTGTTACAAAAATGGCCAGGCTTAATCCCTTTATTGTTGTGTTTATAAAAACAACGTTTGTTTATTAGAGGAGAACGATGGAAATGTTTACCGGGGGGTAAGACGGGGAATATCTACTATGGTGGAGGGTATAAAAGGATAAGGAACTTACTTTTCAAAAATTGTGACAGTTTGGCAATTTTACAATTTTACTGAGTTTTAGTCAGTTTTGAATTTCTTACTATTTTTTCTTATATTTTAGATTACGAATTCTGTCATCAGTTTACAAATGTAATGCTTGTTCAGCCTCGCTGCATTCTAGGTCTTACAACACTGTCCGCTGCCATTGATAAAATTCTCACATCCGATACTCAACTTACCCTCACACATGCTGACCTTTGTCAACTAAGTCTTAAATCGAAGTGTTTGTAAGAAAATGTATTAAACATTTTTCAATTTAATCTTACACTTAAGGGCTAAGTACATAAGAAGCTTGAAGTCATGGCACGGCCTATTTTGTGACATTTCACAAAGGAATTACAGAGCCGCACTAAAATCCTGCCGTCGTTTTTCATTATAATTTGGCATTAATATGCCTAGCCATGACTTCAAGCTTGGTACAATAAAAAGGTAAGGTGGAGCTACCATCCGATTACAATATTTTTTCTCATTGTGCCCGACTTCTGCCAATTTTGTGTATGTATATATTGTTTTGAAAAATAAAAACAAAATATTTTGAAAACCAATGATTGGAAGACACTTACATTGTGGCTCGAGCATTAAGGCTATTAACCAGCATAGGCATGAAATTGAAAGATTGAACAGTTTTGATCATATTTATGAGAAAAAATCCAGGTATTTCATTCATTTTTCATGCTATTTAACTCATTTTAAAAATGAGAAAAAATATGAAAAAAAATAAAACAACTTGTTGTATATCATTTTGAATGAGTCTGACAGGAGGCGGGTATAGCACTTTTATTTGCGGAAAAAACTTTGACTAAAAAAAAGACGTTTGGTGTGGTTTGAAATTATAACTTGCTTTCTTTATTTTTCACTGGCTTATATACTAAAATTCTGTTTATTGCTGCATTTTCGTTGTCGGAAATGCAGCAGAAAAGAAAATACAGTTTTAAGCTAATATTAATATTTAAGTAAACAATTCTTTGGAAATTTGTCTGGAATAAAATGTTGAATTGCATATCAATATTTTAATAAACAATTCTTACAAATAAAGTATTAACGAATATTTATTCTTTGGAAATTTATTTTATAAAAATGTTGGATTTGCATATTAATATTTTGGTAAACAATTCTTTGGAATAATAAAATGTGGAACGATTCTCATTAAGGGAATAACGGGAGACACTATCGTTGAGGGGAATTAGTAGTTGATACTATAACACCCCCACCGCTAGTTTGAGGCTCCGACGAAACTATATTATTTTTATTCCATTGTTTATAATATTTTCATCTTTTAATTGTACACTTGTTACGTATGTGTTCTTATTCTTAATGATGTATATAAAAATAACTAAGATACAAATTGATACAATAATAGAGACATCAATGCCAAAACTTATAATTTTTGTGTTCTTATCTTTATACAATGCTTGTTTCAATGTTTCTTCATATTCTATTTGTTTTAAATATAATGATTCAATTTTTATATCGGCTAGAGTTGTGTTACTATTTTCTTTAATTTTTGTTATTAGGTTTGGTAGGATAAATTTATCGTGTATTTTTATTTTAATATTCGTAAAAGTTTTATTTAATGTGTTTATTTCACAATTTTCGAATTTGATCAAAAAGTTGCCGGTAATTCTCAGTTTGGCTTTGTTACAGTTATGAGTTATTTTATTGTTAAAGTTTTTAAGAATTAGTATTCCCGGAATGATTTCGGTTACTTCTTGTTTATTTGATGGTTGCATTTTACAATTAGCTTCTTCGAATTTTAGTATGTTATTTAAGCAATTGTCTTCGATTTTAATTAGATTTCTTTTTAGGTTATCTTTAATGTAAGTACTGTAAACGTTACTTTCTAGATCTATGAGTACGTCAGAATAATTAAGCTGTATGGATCTGTTATTCTTATCAGGGATTGGTACGAATGTTACCATGGATAGAGGATCTTTTGAAAAATGTGGAATGGAAAGAATTATGATAACGTTGTTATCGTGGAGTGCTATGGTTACTTTAATGTTGGTGTAACTGTCAAAGTCTGTAATTAGGTTAAGTTCGGTTTGAGTAAGAATATCTGTAGGAATTATTCCTAGTTTGCTGGAAAAGATAATTTGTCCGATGTCATCCACATGTTGCTGTAAAAGTGAGATATCGTTGTTGATCTGGTATATGTGTTCTATAAAGGTTATTTCTTCTTCCATGGTTGAGATTTTATTCCCTATAATATTTTTGAGTTTCGTTAAGTAGTTTCCAATGATGTTCTGCTGGTAATTTATGTGATTGGTTATATTCTGGATTTGAGAGTTCATTATATTGCTTATATATGTTAAGTTATTAATTTTGTCTGTTAAATTGTTATCGTTCGCTCGCAGCAGCTGAAAGGTCTCATTAATTTGTTTTTCGTCGTCGCTGTCCATTGTGCCAGCAATAATTTTTAACCCTTTACCTAGGATATTTAAGAGAGCCCGTTTCTTTCGAAAATGTGGGTTGAGGTTTTCTATTTTTGCCTTTAATAGCATAAAATTTTTGTTTACTGTATCTAGTAACCTTTTTGATTCGGTATTTGATGTTTTTAAAATGTCAATATTAGTTTTGATCATTTCTAATGTTCGTTCGTATTCTGTGGTGTTTATTATATGTAATATCTTGGTATAGTGTTCAATGGTTTTGGTTTCTCCTGTCTTGATTGGAATGTAACCGTTATTGTTTGATAGGTCTTGTATGTCGAGGGTTTGGGCCTTGGTTGCTGTAGTAAATGCAACCATTATTATGATCCAGTTAATCATCTGAAAGGGGATGGTAATTATCTAGATTTTGCTTTAATTTTTGGGTTATTCTTGTCTTGATATTTCTTTTGAGGTCTTATATGTGCTTTGTAATATTTATGCCCTGTTTTTGTGTTTTCAATATGATCTTCATCGACTTT